ACATGTCTTATTCATCTTACCTAACCCTAATCATCTCTTTACAGCACTGTTAATGTTGAGTTATATGAGTGTTATTTGACGCTCATATATCTATATTTATATGCGGAATGTTTGTTACATGTAATTTACTACTTCTGTAAAGTAAATATCATGTGTTATCCAAACTTTTGGTGGAGTTTTTCTTTTTCTTCTTCACTTTTCGAATATTTAGCTTAAGATGTATATTTCATTATTGTTGTTGTTGTTTAAAAAAAATGATTTTAAGTGCATCTTCATATGATGCTACTTGTGTGAAAAGTTTGATAGATTTTGGTCAAACTGTATTATAGTAAAGAGTATATAAATATTTTATCATATTTTTAGCAAGCCATCTGTGCACAAATCTCCATTTTTATAGGTATTTACTTTATTCAATTGGTAGAGGTTAGTGGGGGAAGGGAGATGTGCAAATTTATGTGGATTTACTTTACGAATTTTTCAAACATGGTATGTAAACATCAAGTGAACACTTTTTGTGTTCTTTTGGGGGTGTGTGCAAATTATATGTGGATTTACTTTACGAATTCTTCAAACATAGTATGGAAACATCAAGTGAATACTTTTTGTATTATTTTGGGGGGGTGCAAATTATATGTGGATTTACTTTTCGAATTTTTCACACATGGTGTGAATACGTTTTGTCTCATTAACTGTGTTAAAACCACTCGAAGATCATATTCTCATTAACTCTGATAGCTTTGTGTCATTCTCATTGCAAGCCTTTTCTTTAGGTCTGTAACGATTAAATCTATTGCATACACTTCAGTGAAAATATGCCCTACGGAACATCACACAAGCTATCATCAACTTTAGCACTATTGATTCGCGGTATTCTGGTTCAACTTTTAACCATTTGTCAGGTACACACAAGGTTTCTCAATGATCTCACTGAAAGAGTGCATCATAAACAACGCCACACGTTACATCTTCTACCTAATTAACTAATATTGATTCACTGCTTGCTTAGTTTTTCAGTAGGAGCTTAATCTAGATCATTGTGCTGGTTTTTCGTTTGTGTATCTTTGCAAGCGCTACGTCATACAATATCAATTGATACGGACTATGATAGAGAATCGATGGTTAAAATCGAGGGGAGTTGTAACCCTAACTTATGTATTAACAGCTTTCCAAGCACGTAATTATACAGCAAATATATATATACAGTCCTTTATCTAGAATATAGTGTTTTTAAAATAAGAAAAACGTCACTTAGAAAATTGTATGTTATTTTTTGTTATCGTTTATCCACAACCGATCCTCCCATAAACCAACATTTTGAAGAAATTCTGTTACAACTCATGCAAAACGAACTTGCGTGACTACGGTCTTAGTCTCTCCTACAATTGCTGTGTTCGTATTTCACTTGATTCGTATGTACTTACGAATTTGGATCTATATATCACTATTTTTCTAACGTATCAGACGTGGGTTATTTGTTTTCCTTATCTTTACAAATTTCAGGTGTCAGTTTCAAACCACGCAATGGTCCAAGTATCCTTAAGTTTCCTAACATATAATACTACTGCTGTTTCAAACTAGATATCATGAATCTAAACATGTGTACATTATTCTAATTGAAAAAAAAATGATATATATATATATGTATATATATACATACTCATATACACTTACTCATAAACAGGTGCACGCACATATATATATATAAATATACGTAGATGCATACATATATATATAAATATACGTGGATACACACACACATACATATATAAATATACATGAATACACACACATACATATATATAAATA